TATTTTGATTCAACAACAACAACCATATATTTATTAATACGTATACTTTATTAATTTTGTGTCAATGCGTTTTAAATAAACGCCCACACATTATTTCTGAATAATCCATAAAAATGGGTAATTAATATTAATATCCGATAGTGCCACAACCCTATTTAAAAAATGCAGAAACCTAGCAACATTGGAAATGTCAAATTTGTCTCCGGGATTAAAAAGCAGAGTATAGGTAGTCGTAAGGTGTATAGGTGCCAAATTGAAAACCATTATTAACGAAAATAAACATATTTCCCCTAGAAGTAAATTAATAACTGAAAATATTCATTCAAACTGCGCCGTCATGTGATCAATGTAGTATGAAAAAGTTTCAAATTTATATATATATATATATATATATTTGCACTTTGTTGTTGTGTTAGTGAAAGTGTTTTACTTTTATAACTAGAACTACTCTATATTGCTTTATGTATAAGTATATAATGCTATTATAATTACTTAACAGTATTTTATTTAACTTTTTATGTGCATAATAATTACGAAATCACATAAACCAAGTGTAATACTATAAATAGAATAAGATACTTTATACATTACATATAGATTGACTGATTCATGCTGAATTGGCGAAGATCCCGTTGCAGTTTATGCACACGGCGAATGCTAATAATTTTATATATTTTAATAATTTTGAGGGCGCAGGTTTGTTTTAGTCCTGGTATGACAACCAAATGAGGATCTTCGTACAAATACGAAATCTTTGATACTTAGTAATAAGATACCATCATATTCATACAACATTGTATCAAATTTCGAAATACTAAGAACATATATACGAATTTAGAGCCAAGACGATAGATTATATACGAAGTTAGATTGTACCAGATTTATTGAGGTGAAATGTTGGCAACACTGTTTTAAAGAAAAAAAAAACAATTACATAATGAAAACAACTGAATGAACCGCTTTAATTTAATTGACTGGTAAAGATAAATGAATTGATTGGCAAGATTTTCAGAGATCTACTAACACCTCTTTTATGTTCTGTTAATTCTATAATGTATAAATTATTCATTTCTTAATATATTTTTCATGCCATGCATGCATCATTCAAATTGAATATATTCCCCTAATCCATTTATTTTTAGATTTGTTCGTCCATTCAAAATCCAATACAATCCTATGAAATCCAGTTAAACAATATTTACTAAGTTAGACCATAGACAAAAATATACACGATGTAGGTAGAGCAGGTAAGAGAAGTCTCATCAATTATTTTAAATTTGCTTCTGTTTTGTTCAGATGTTTAAGATAATTCTACACCTATATTTACTATACTTTATTGTGAAACTAGTGGAATTATACGACAAATTAAGCAAATTTTTATGATTTTATTCTATTAAATTTGTATAGAATGTGAAGAGTTTTTGAAAACTTCTATAAATATATAATTCTATAAAAATAAAATAGAGATACATAGATAAATTTTCATTTATAGGTTTTTATATTTATATATTTAAAAAAACATTTCTTGTCTATTACAGATACTTATGGTAAGTTAAATCCTCCGTTAGTTCGGAGTACTATTAAGTAGAAGAAAGAAAGCTTTATTCTTTATATATATATATACATCTTTTTTTAAATATATATAAGTATTTTAAGTATATATATGAAATAGAGCTTATTATTAAATATTAAAAAAATTATATAACGCTCTATTTCATTTTTAAAATATACTTAAAATACTTATATATATTTAAAAAAAGATGTATATATATGCATTTATATGAATTATCTATTATCCATAACACAAGAATTATGAATTGTATAATAAGTTGTGTTCTGAAGTGAATTGTTCTGAAATAGTATTATTATATTCTGACAAGTCGTGGCAAAAAGTTGTCTACTAAAAAGTAATTAATAGAGGTACAATAAGTCATCGCCATGATGACTTCGCCAACGTCATAATTACTTATAAGTACTAGTACTTAAGAAGTTTCAACTTCAAGTTGCTTTGTCTTTTTTATTTTACATATTGTTCGTCTGTTCGTTAAAAGTAAATGACAGCCGTCATTCTATAAATGACATACCCATATATTTAAAATCAGTTCTTGGGCTTTCAAATTACTTGCTATTTTATGAACAAGTGGTTGTTTAACATTCACTAAAATTAACATATTATTGTATTAATGCAAGCAGGCAAATGTGTCATTTTAGAGACGTCATTATTCATTCCTATTGTCCAAGTCAGTTGCGGTGATTACTACAGGCAGTAATTAACCAGTATTTAAAGTGGATGTGTTCATCTGAGATTCACTGTCATTATTTTGCATATTCAGTACTTCTACGGGTACTCTTATTTAAACTGTCACTACTTCAAATTTCAAATATATAAATAATATTGTAGATGATGCTTGAATAATTATTATTATCTTTTAACATAAAAATATAATAAACTATATACCGTCTCAATAATCGAGCATTTTAAGTGATATTCCTTATTATATATGAACTCTTTACTCTTTTTTTTTTATAAAGGTTGACTTTGCACAAAATCGGGAACTATGTATTTTATTGTAATATCTTTTGATTTGCATAGTGAAATATGGTAATTAAATTATTGACCACTATGGCTGTCATGCCACCGTAGTCCGTAATTATTTGTATCCGTAATTGGAATTATGTATTCTATGGAATGGCGATGCATGAAGAGGGATCACGGGCATCACACGATGTCGTGATATCTGTGGGGTTGTTCATGTATATAGGCGATGATTGCCACTTACTACCAAGTGTTCCCCATTCCAGTTATATAATAAAAAATGAATCAGCTCTACCTACATGTATTTTTAGTGTATATTTGTTTAGATGCTTGTGACAAAAGTAAGGACATGACTTTGCTTCACGTCGGAGAACCATTTGAAGGGAACTGAGCAAATATCTAAGTATATACATATGTATACTATATATTAAACGATTTCGTTCGTTTCTTATAGTTAGCGGATCTACATATAAGTATACATTCTGTACACATGTGCAGACAGAACTTAGTTTTGTCAGAAATAACTAACTTACACCCGTAGTACCTATATCATCAGTTTGTTTTCGGTATTAGAACTATACTTATCAGTTATCAGCAATTTACAATTAATAAAACGTAAACCAATACTGCTTGCTTATGCCATGCTTAATTGTGTCATGTCTCATATTTAATTGTTATTAAGTATTATTTGTTCTGCAGGGTTCAGTTTAAACAAAACCTATGTGTGTAGTGCTTGAAGCAACGTGGGTATTTATTACAAATGATAAACATAAAAATGCACCAGTCATTGCCACAAAGTGTGGTCTTTAGTTGTTGTGAACATCATAAATACACATATTGGAAGAATAGTGTAACAAAACGTGATTGTTTAAATTACATACTACTTAATATAGATTGGTAGGTATATGTTATGAATATGAATCGAAGAATGTTCCTTAAAAATTGTATGTAGGCAGATGTTATTAATGAATTGGCTCGTTATCTATAGAAAATGGTTTCATAATGAAGAACTCAGTAGGCGGCTCGTTTAAAGTAGAAGAAGTATAATTCGCCGAGTCGGCTTCGAACAGATTAAACTAGGCCAACAGTCGCTGCACGCAACTCACAAAGACTATACTTTCGGCACTATTCTTAGGTTTGCCTAAATTACCGTAAAAATAACACAACAATCTCGAAGTAGGCAGGTAATTAAGTACGTGCGTACTACATCTACTTATTTAGAATATTTTACTTTAGTCATTGTACAAACAAAAGAAATTTATTGACGGAAGACTCCGTTAGAAATACTCTCCTTAGGCTCCTTGAGATTAAAGCAATAAGTAAGCGTATATTAGACCAAGATCTAAGTAAATTAATTTTAGATATATTTATCATAGGATCATAGGAGGTATCTCCTTATAGGATGATGATTTATCCAACTATTATCACGCTAACCAAACAGTAGGGGTTGTCTACTTCGTCAGTGTAAATTTTTGGTATTTCTGCAGTGTGAGATAAAAAAGAATTACATAATTAAGTATATTTATTAACATATTACATTGTTAGTAAAAAAGTTAAATACATTTTACTTCATCGATATAAAAAAAGAAAAATTGTTAGAAAAACGAAAAATTTATAACACCTGTGCAGTACAAACAAATTTACAGTAATTTCTATTTATTTATCACTGTCATAGTCTCCTATAATTTGTGTTGGCCTAATGTACTATATATGCTCTTTAAGTGTTACTTACATATTCTTAAAGACTTGATAGCAAACATTTACAAACGATTATCGCTAAAATTGAAGACACAAATTATCAACGTCTTATAGATAATTATAATAGATCCAAGTTAAGAAAATGGGACTTTTTATTCGTGATACAAGTTCTTATTTTATGAGATAAGAACAATTACTGTAATCATTTAGTTGATATAGTTTGTTATTTAGATAAATTTAATTAATAGCAGAAACAAATATTTTTCTGATATATGAATAATATTAAACTTTAGGAGAATTAAAATTATAGGATTATTTTTTTAATTTATTTTAGAAGAAAATTCACGCGTCGTGAATACCTTTAACTGCAGTTACGTATTGTTTTGTTGACATGATATTTACTTGCTTTACAATGAAATAAAAATAATTACGTTTTTACCATTGTTCAAAACATATCAACAGGTGTGCCATGAATAGAAACAAATTGGTAACTTAACTAATTTGCGAAACGAAACATTCATACCTATCTGCTGAAACCACATCAATGACATTAGATTTACATTTAAAATCTATGTTTATTAACTTCACTTCTGAAAATATTTATTTCCCTACACTTAGGGTTGGCCGCTTAACATAAGTCCATCGACTTTTTGTGTCATATTTACTTGGGTGTAGTCACGTGCCTCGATGTAAACAAACCGGTCCACGCAGCTTACTTCACCTTGTCAACTGAGCGATTACCGAGAACTGAGAGAGGTAAACTCACCGTTTTCACATGTGTATCCCCATTCCTGTTCAGTCATTATTACAGCCGGTAGGTACACTGTTGTCACTGCTTGTAGATGAAATGTTACGAATATTTATAAAGTGTTAGGACGCGTGGCTCGTGAGTGCACAGAAAGTGATGTCTGGGCCGTAACTGTGTGCGAGTGTTCGCAGTGTGTCCGCTTTATACGCGCCAGCAGCGGAGCGCTCTAGGCGGCGGCGGGCGCGGGCGCGGGTGCGTCGCCAGTGCCTCTGCGGGACAAGACACACTGACACGGTGACGATGCAGGTGGCAGCCACTCGCACGCGCTCCGCGGGGCCACTGCCACTGCGCCCGCGGCGTGACGCGACCCGCTCGTAGCCCCCCTACTCGTGCCTTTCTACTGTATTGTAATTACGGTCTTTGCACATCAAATACATTATCATACCTATCCCAATGTCAATAAAATAAATTAATAGGTTTTGCGCTATCATGATATATCGACTTCTTATTGCAGTTTAGTTGGTTTTCCTCACTATACTGCGAGATACACTATACACCTGTACAAGTTGAAAAAATTGGCGCCTGAAAAGTAGGAAATTATAAAATATATAATCAATGAATTTAGACGAATAAAATAAAATAAATTTATTTTAAACCCATTTTCAATATAGAGTAGATAAGTAGGTAATTAGTTGCACATTTAGTTATAAGTGCAATAAGTAAGTACTTACATTATCTAATTATATAACTAAAATAATGGCATACCACACACCTAACAGTAATCTATCTATATATCACTTTATAAAAATGTTACACTCACATAAATTTTATCTCCAATTAGATCCTTTGATATACCCTATATAGAGAAAATTAAAGAAGTACGTACTAACAGTTTTGTACCTAATAACTAACAATGTTCATCTCTTTATTGGCAGTCACAGTCAAGTGTGACTCATGAGAATATTGTAACAGAAATTTACACAGTTCCACACTCACCTAGCGGAACCCTCGTCTGAGGCCGCGTTGAGGTTGTTGTATGATTTGATTGGGAGTAGGTTTTAATGGATCTTTTTCTTAAATTGTCTTTTTCTTAAATTGTAAGTGTCAAGGGTTTTTTTATTTATTGACTAAATGCGTGTTTTTTCTTGAATTAAAGATTGTATTAGAGATTAAGGTACGATGTGGCTAACGTAGCAAAATTGAACAAAAGTCTCTAAATTAATAAAGAATTAAAAAATGAAATAAAACAATTATATTATTAATGAAATCTGGTAAAACTAGAGTTAAGAGTTTTCTGGCAATATTTCCTAAATAGTTGTTGAAAAAAATTTCGTCAATATGTTTTTGCTGACTGATCTCAGACTTCATCCTCATCATATCATCTTCCACTGGTACGCCGCCGCGCCGCCAGTGTAAACCGTTAGCGCAGCCATGTGCACCATTCTATTCTCATTTATAAAAGGAACTAGGTAGTTGCTACACGTATTAAAATAAATAAACTTTATCTAGATTTGTTAAAAAGGCTATATTACCACCACCCCACCTGATGGAAAGAGGTAAACATCACTTATGGACATGAACGGTAGCACAGACACTAAAATACACTAGTAGCACCGCGGTACATCTCTTCTTGCCTCTTCTTCTAGAATGTTATGTATGTACACCTTAAGAAAGGAAATTGCGTTAATATTATCGCACTTATCTACTTAGAGAGCTGTGTCACATAAAACTATAAAACCCAGATGTAAAACTTCAAAACATTATTATTTGCTTGAACTAACAAATTTTATATTAAACATAATTTATGATTTATATTACTTGAATTAATTTTATTACCTTCAAAGGTATCTATCGGTATATATTTAATAATTTTTAATAAGTGATATGTAAAAACATATTACTTATTAAAAATTATTTCATTATATCGATTTTTTAATCGGGTCTGTAAAGCCGGGGATATGATGTAACATGCTTATAAAATTGATGACCAAAACGAATTGACATCCAGCTTTTTTAATGGCGAAAAACTACCAACATAACTAACCCATAAGCAAAGTAGGTAAGTAGATACAACATCAACAAAATACCTCTGAAACACGACTGTGTCTATCTTTATTATTAAAAGACTGACTTCGATTACATTTTTTTGTTATAGTACCAAACTAGCTTTCGTCTCATCTGTGCCGTAGCCTATTAACGCTTGAAACACCAGGGGTGTCATTTATCTCTATTTATGAAATATATTACCAAGTTGTTAAACTACTGTAATATTGCTTGGGGTATATCTTTTTTAGTGACCTAACCTATTGTACGGTGTTAACCTAACACTTTCCTGGTGTTACGGAGGCGTCATATTACTGCCACAATAGTGCTGTTTTCGTATATCTTGTTTTTATGTTCACTTATTATTATTATTAGATATTATTTCTTATACTTACGATTATACGATACATACGATTTATTTTCAACGTTTACCCACGTAGGAAGTTTAACTGATGCCTGCATATCTATATACTAAGTAAATATGTTATTAACAAAAATTATCTGTTTACTTAATAAAATATTCTAAAACTGTCTGAAATACAGATCTCGTATATAGTTCATAGGAACCTAATAGCATTACACGTTTGGCTAACTATGTGTGCTGACCTCATTAGTAAGTAACCCATTGGAATGTATTTAATACAGTGAATTATTATTGTATATGTGTACTTTTGTGTTGCACGGCTGAAGTTCTATTAATAAAATTGAGTCTTACCTATTATTTTGGTACGTAAATGATTAAATTGGATACAGCTTAGTGATATAAGAAAAGTTTATGGCTTTGTTTGTTACAATAGTGGATCGATTAGTGTACCTGATAGAAGCACGTAGCAATACGACGTATTGAGCATATTTGAAAAAGTTAAAACTTTGAAGAATGTTATGACATGGCATTATAAAATCTTATCTCCTCAATTTAAGAATTTCTAAGATAAAGATAAAGATGTGTATTTGTAAATATGTGTATTCGTTTCAATTGGGATTCTGAACTACTTTTCTTTTGTGTTATCGGTATTGAAATGAAAACTAAGAATAACATGACATAACCGCCGCCTAATTTAATTGACCAGATGTATTATCTTAAAATTATAAGGATTTGTGTAATAATATTAGATTCTTGTTGTTATTTTGTGTTGTCGATGAGAGATTGAATATTATAAAAAGAAAAAAATTGTTTTTGCCTCAAACATTAATAATTTATTGAAATAAATTCATCGATTCAATAATCCTAGTGATGTCAAAAATTGTTCCATTACATTTATTCCATTTGTTGGTTGACTCTTGCCATTATAAATGCAGTTATTGAATTTCTAAGAAGAATCTAATGTTTTGTTAAAGATATAACTGCCGACGTAAACTTAAGCACGATGACAGGGTTGCCTATACATCTATACCCTAAAAAGGTTTTTATTTTATTATCGTTCGCCTTTAGTTTTTATTACTGAATCTGCACTCAATAAATAGGTGCTGAAATTAAACAAACAGCTGTAAGATTAAGTTTTGTATTTAACATCTCTTTGTTAAGAATGTGTTGGTATATTACTAGGTACATATATTGAAATTTGTTTAAGAGCTTTGAATTCCGCCCGTGAGGTAAGCCCTTTAAAGCTGAGAATATCTTAATTTTTTTTACAAATACATGTTAAATAATTACATATGACAGTTAATCTTTCAACCATAAAGTATTTTCATAATTGAGACTTTTTTCTTATCGAGTTTTAATTCGTTATATAAAATTATATAGATATTTTTTTCACATATACCATACGCTTACATACTGCTTATTTACTCTAAACATCTGAAGGCACTACATTCAGACAAACGGTTGCCATCTTTGCTGTAGTTCTGAATCCGCGGGAATTCCCAAAATTGGGAATAGGAATTCCCAAAAACATTATTCGGAACAAAATGTTAGCATTACTAGCATCGTGTGATATATGAATTTAGTAGCGTTATACCTTAGTTTAAAACTTGTTTTCATGTAATTTACCTCTATACAGTCTAACTATAAATGCAATCCATTTACTCGTGCAAAAGTGTCAAGCAGACAGACACAATTTTATAATATTAGGAACTACCAAGGCTGGAAAGTAATATTTATACATTGCCAGAAAATAAAATCCAATAAAATAATACGCTACAATTCTAAGCATGATGTCATCACATCCTTAGAAAGATTGCTCTGAGTAATTGCTGAGGCGCATTAGAATAAAATTGTATCATATTGGAACATAATTAGCTAATATTTATATTTAAATATCAGTTCTAAACTATAATATTTCTTAAAAATATACCTAGTATAAAAATATTATATTTTATAATAAATATATAATATAACTAATTAGGCAAACTACTCAAGTAACTCACTAAAAACAATCTCGAGCTTAAAATCTTTTTCGCAATAAATATAATATTTATATTGTACTGAAATAATTATTAAATATTATGACAAAAAAATCATATTACTTATAAGAAACTCACAACTTTTTGTAAATTTGTAAGATGGGGAAAATCCTCTGAAAAATCTAAGTATACTTGTGCTGCGGCCAGTTTTACAGCAAGGCATGTATTGGTGGGATTCAAGGTGCTCTTCAAAAGATGTGTTTACTCATTATAGAGTGCTTAAAATTATACATGAAACTCAATGCAAATACTCAAACTCAGTAGCTAGTGTCAAAAAAGATTGATCACAAACAAAAGGCTCGAAACTCCAAAAACAAGCGCACCTAAAAGGATTATTTTAATGGACACATATGAAAAGCACTATAAAATTCCAGAGGATCCAGGTGTTTCATCGTCCAGACTACATACGTTCCTATATTCGAAAACTAAATGTGTATAAATGATAGCGCTCACTCTGCCATAGGAAACATATTTATTTAAAGACCATGCAATAAAAACACATGACTATGCGGTTAATTTATATGCGTTCGACGTGGGAGCGAGAGGTATACCAGCCCAATCACTGTATCCCCTGAAAGATCCTGATACTCGCTTTAGCTGGACACACGAGGCATTGATAAACGTGAGCAGAGAATGTGAGTGTTAACGTCGCTGAAGGAGCCCTTTAAACCTACACCCGGTCACAAGCTCCGAGAACTGCTCGTAGTTTCCCCCTGTGCCACACGATTGGCCCAGCACCAGCACGGTGCATCCTAGGAATGCTAAGAAATTCGTGTTTGTTTAATTCCAAATAATCTTGAATACATTTTAAATAGTGTTTAAGTGGAATGAAATTAAAGTAGGTCAGACAATTATAAAATATTATAGATAGTCCAGCGGGCGTATTATGAACTCTTATTCCC